ACCAGCACGTGCTTGCCGTTCCTTGCAGGCCACAACTTCACATAAAACAAAAGTAACCAGGGCTTCTAGCTCATCCAACTTGCGCCAGGACTAGAACCGATTATTCTCAGCTTCAGTTGACTGAGCAGGAGCAGAACATGGGCCCCGTCAGTCTGCCATGGCTTGCAGCATTTTCCGCCGAGGCTCTTGACCAGAGTGGCCTCATCGAGGGACAAGTCTGCGTATCGGCTCGACTGATCCAAGGCACGGCGGGTGACGGCGCTCTCCTGAAACTGTCTGCTGGTGCTTAGGCATGCTTAGGACTGTTGGGATTCCCCGGCTTCCGGCTTAGGACTTGGCCCCTGCGAAACTAATTCCGCACAGAGAATGTTGAGCCATATGCCCTGAGGCTGCAAATCAATACCCTCGGCGGTTATGATAGACAACAATGATCCACGCGGCTCACCCATCGCTCACCCCTCCTTGGTAGGCACCACTGTGGTCGGAAGCGGCGTGCCACGGGCTTGTCGGCCTGCCGCCGGCGAAGCATGCGAAAGTCATGCGAAGCACTCGCCCCTGTAGAATGTTTTGGGCTTAGGACGGGTTCGGGTTACGGGCTGCACCTTCCATTTTTTTCTGTGCTGATACAGCCTGCGCTTAGGAGAATCTCCAATAACCACCTTTGCGGCAGCCACCAACAGGCTAAGGTGTACTTTTCCAACTCTTCATCAAAATTAAGAATGCTGCTATCATTTCATTCTAGTATCATACAGTAACTTGTCAGGACAGAAAACCCATCCCATGCTCCACACGTTCCTAATTCGTGCGTCTCAGCCACACTTCTTGCTGCGATCACGCTTCAGTACCAGGATTTAGGATGTCAAGGCTTTGTCAGAATCATCCCACGCCTGGCCGGGCGCCAGATGCCATGGCAGCTGCGGCCACAGCACCACCAGCAGCCAGCGTGGACAGCGAGGAACCGGTGCTGGCAGTTTGGGCCTGTAGGAATAATGTTCGTCACCGCATGTCACCGCAGCAAGAAACAGAAATCAGCACATGCAACACCAGTGACGATGGCAAAAACCGCAAATATCGGTCCAGTTCTTTCCCTCCTCCTCATCACATGAAACTCGTGGTGATTTTGATGATGGGGCCGAGACTGTATGTGTCTGACAGGACCAGACAATGTAACAAGTTGATTTGAAGGACAAAGACGACCTAGAGGAGGCAGACGTGGCAGTAAACGTTGATATGCCTTCCGTCCATATCTGGCGTTCTCGTGCAATTTCCCTGTGAGTGTGTGGAACTTGATTACACGACAGGGTCCTCTCTTAGAGCCGTCCCAGCACCGGGCCCCCTACAGGGGCAATCACTAACGCAAAAGGGCAGCTGCAATTTTTCTGTAATGACCTCAATGTTCGCAAAGTTTCGCAGGGGACATCAGCCACAAGAGCGGCTGAAAGGACATCTTTCATGGCAAAGGTCTTCATCTTGTTAACATGCCTACCGACTCAGATGCTAATTTCCGTGGGCCCTCAGAATGCTTAAGAATATGAATGCCAGACCGGCCAGACCAGTCTGCAAGACCTAAGTCATCGCAATGTTCCTTGGAGCTGCAATGCACAAACCTCACATGGCTGCGCCTGCGCCTTTGCGCTGGCGGCTCCCCTGAGAGCGGGCTGCGTCGTTGGCACAGCCACGAAGGCAGAGGCAGCGTTAAGGAGCGCTACGCCGCCTGCAGGGACAAGGACTCTGGATCTTTGAAGCTTTCTTGAAGGAATGCAGCAATACTCTCGTTATGCGGGAATCACCTGAAAACGTACCTCGCACCTCGCGTGCTGTCAAACAAAGCGTCGCTGCATTTGGCGGCGTCCAATTCGCTGGATATACAGATACCCACATGTGGTACAGGATTCTTAGAAACATAATTCAATTTGATGCTGCTGCACCGAGCGCCAACTTGAAAACTCTCACCAACAGCAGGCCCTTGATTCTGATATGTTCATGCATTCTGCTTGGGTCACTGCTATGCGCTTTGCAGGAAACATGCATTGCGACGGTGACTCCGATGATTCTCACAAATTCATGCTCCTGTTAGTGCCATTGCTTCCATTAGATTATTAAATAGGACTCGTAGTAGTCCTTGTACTACGGATGGCATTAGAACAGCAGAAACAACTGTGGAAGTAAGAGGAGGAGGAGAAGTACTAGTAGCACTACTACTACTACTACT